AACAAATATCATCAATGAACAGAAGGAACAGCAGAGGCCCAAGAATAGATCCCTGCGGCACTCCTCTGTTCATATTTAATGTTGTTGACGCTTGTCCGTTAACAATAGTCACACATTGTCTAAGACTTAAATAGCTTGAGAACCATTGTAACAATTCTTCTGACACTCCCTTTTTTCGTAGTTTATAAAGTAAAGCTGAGTGCCAGACTTTATCAAAAGCCTTTGAAAAATCAAGAAATACAGAAAGAGTAAAGTTACCGCTGTCTAAATTCGCATTGATTTCATGTATAAGATCTACTAGCTGATTGACTGTTGAATCTCCCTGAATAAAGCCGGATTGGAATGGCGTTAATAATTTATGTTTTTTAATATGCGCGTATAATTTATTGAAAACTAGTCGTTCAAGAACTTTTGACATGGCGGGTAGCAAGCTAATGGGTCTATAATTGGTTGGAAGAGTGCTGTCACCGTCTTTAAATATAGGATGAATAGTTGCTAACTTCCATTTATCAGGGAAAACACCATTTAGGAGAGAGAAGTTACAAATATGCGTAAGATCGTGAGCTATAACAGGGCCAGCTTCTAGGAGAATTCTAGATGTTATCTCCTGACTAGTAGCTTTATTAGGATTAACTTTACTCAAGCACTTTTCTACCTCTTGAACCGATACTGTGAAAACGTCTAGAATATGAGGATTCATGATAAGTATGTTCTGAGGTATTACCTTATTGCAATCACTTAGATCCATACTGCAGATCTTCGCGAAATGTTTGTTTAAAATATTCGCTTTTATGCTTTCTTCAGAATAGTCCGTTCCATTTTCGTCTTTTATTACAGGAATACTTACAGATCGTGACCGTTTAAAAAGTGTTTTTACTAGCTTCCACCATGATTTATTCGATGCATTTGTGGTACGTATACGTTCTAAATATTTTCCTTTTTCTTTTACACATTGCGTTTCAAATGTACTACACGCTCTTTTATATTTTTCTTGATTAGAGAGAGAAAAATTGTCTTTATATTTTTTGAATAAGCGTTTTTTCTTTCTGTACAAAAAGCGCAAATTTTGTGTAAACCATGGCTGATAGAGGTAGTTAATAATATAGAAAAGGACTTCTTTACTGTTGTTACGAAAGAATGGAACAATCTGGTAGTGAACAATGGTGATTACATCACTATGAGTATTTCAAAAATGAGAATATGCTTAAAATCAGACTTAATCACAGTACCACCATTTCCTAAAAAGTTAACATTTTCGACACGTCGAGCAGAAGTTTTATTTTTTAGGATAAAATCAAACTTTCCAGCACTTAACTACTATTTATTCAAACATAAATGTGTAAACTCGCCTAAGTGTATATGTGGGAGTGTTAGAGAGGATGCTGAACACTATCTTCTTAATTGTCCACTATATAATAATGAAAGAATAATTTTAAAGTAAAAACTAAACTTCTTAAAAACCTTTACCATGGACATATTACTACTTAATGAGATCGGAAGGAGCGAGGATGAGGTAGCATCCATTTTTTGGGCTGTGAACTCTTATATTTCTGAAACAGGACGATCTGAAAATTAGCAGCATGTCTAATTCCTTTTAATTCTATTTATAAGCCATAAATCCACCATATCTACAGGACCTATCACTATCATTATCATTTACCGTTTATTTAATTCATTTTATATTTCATTTCTATTGTTAATTCCTTCTTTCCCTTCTGATTTCAATTTACCTTCCCTTTGTTCTTGATTACATACTGTTAAACGTTAGGCCTAAAATGACCCTGTCGCTGGCCTTTTTACTATGAATCAATAAAGTTATAAAACAGCCCAAATGTTCATTGTCAGCTCAAAGCTACAAAAATAAGAAGGAAAAAATTGATTTAGGGCTTTTCTTGTAAATTCCATAACTTTGCAAAGAAATGTCATGTAGAGCTGGGCAATGTCTCATTTTGATCAGAAATGTGCGGGCTACAAGCATGGCTTATTAAGAAAGGTTTTGGAGAGTTTTTTGAGTTTCTGGAAAACTGGTTTTCTAGAAATCCAGTCTTTGGAGGCCTTGTGGCCCAAACCATTGTCATATTCGGATTCAGCATACTTGATTACCTATTGTACACTAACTCACGGCTCAAAAGCGATTGGACAGTTGGTGTCCTTTCCTCGTAAGTTTAAAAGTTTTAAACAAGGTTATTAGTCAGTTCTTTTTGGACAAATATTTCTACAGTGTATTATGGATACAAAACAGATGAACTTTCAAAACTTTTACCGTTATCTGCAAAAAGCCTATCTGAAAATGCAATAAGATATAAAAGACAATTAAAAACAGTCTTCAATGAGCGTGCTTCTATCTCCGATCATTAAAATATTCTACACTCCCAAGGGACAAAAACAACCCTCGGAGCTAGTCTTATAAAGCACATCGATCTACTGCACCACGTCACTATGCGTACTTTTTAAGCAAGCGCAGAGGTTCTAAAAATAAAACAAAACTTTTAACTGAAAACTCAAAAAAAAAAATAATAATAATGAAGCTATTAACTACATCACTATACGAAAATTTGTTCAAATAATAAGTTAACTGAAACAAAAATAAAAAAAGGTTATGAAGCGCTTCTTAACACATGTAATATCCATTAATATTAAACATCACTTCAAAAAAATATAAAATAACAGTGAAACATTCAAGATCATCTGATTAGAGTGATAACATCATTTCACATCAGATTCACTTGTGTATTATGCATTTATTTAGCCTTATCCACTTACTTTAACCTGTCGTAATTCATCTGTCTATATAAGAATGTTTAGACTATTCTCTTATAGATGTTCAAAAATCATAGGTGTCTACTCTTACAAGTGAAGAAACAACTATTATAAAGTAGTCAAATTCACTTACATTCCCATAAAACCATTGATATTTCGCTGGTGGTAAACCTGCTGCTTCACATATTAATGTAGCCGTTTTCTTTTCAATAGCGCATGGTGATGCACATTGAATGTTAGGTTGTGTAACAAATTCTGCAGTTAAATGACAAGTTCACCTATAAACCGCGGAGAGAGAGCAGTTGAGAATCGAAATAATTGTAATAAAAAGTACAAAACTGCAACATACTTGATTAAGACTTTAACCAAATATTTTCCGATTTATTGTGAGGGTGAGGGCGATCTCTTGCCGAAATATCACAATAAATCGGAAAATATTTGGTTAAAGTCTTAATCATGTATGTTGCAGTTTTGTACTTTTTATTACAAGTTCACCTACGTTTTCTGCTTAGTATCATTAGTTCAAACTTACTTGAAATAATAACAGCAATAGAAAAGTCTCTTGATTCTCCCGTTTCAAAAACATCTGCTCGACACCAAAATATATCATTATCGGATACATCAACTTTATTTATCTTTAAACCTTCGCTTGTTCTTTCATAATTTGGACTTGCTCGAATCATAAACAAAGAGTGAAATAAAAAAAGATTTAGGAAAGTAGTTTTAGAATTACCGATTCTTGTTTTATCTCGTCCTTTAAACCATGATACTTCAGCTGATGGATTCGCTTGCACTCGACATTTAATTAAAACTTGTTCAGCACCTAACTCTGCATATTGAATTGATTCACCATGGAATGTGATTGGAAGTGAAAGCAGTAAGCTAATGTTACTCGAAAGAGAAAAGAGTAATAAAGTTAATCTATCTACCTTTGATATTCATTTGAAGTTGTTTTGAATATTTTCTAGCATCATTGTCAACTCCAGTATATTCCCATTTGCCTTGATCTTCAATGGTCAAATTTCGTATTCTCTATCTTAAACCGTATGTTTGTCTTTCAATTGTCACTCTGAAAGAGAAAAGTACTTTTAGTAAATGCAATTGTTGATGGATAGTGTTTAATGGATAGTTAACCGAGCAGCATCATTTTCGGGCACTTCTGCCTGTTGTGGTGTTCTCCAACTGATAACTCTTGTATTTAATTGACCAGTGCATGATGGAACGAATGATCGATATTGATCTCGTGTCAATATCGAATCACTTGGTTTGATGATTAAATCTGACTGAACGACTAGCTAATACGACGACTGAAACGATCTCTGTATGATATCCTAAGTATCAAACAAGATATAACACTTAGCAATAGAAGTATCGGTGCAAGAGTGTAACTATGAATGTTTACCTATCAGGGATGTAGGTGTGGAGGTACAATCATAAAACCAAAGGTGTAAGGGTGGCATGTATTTATCAGCGCTCGTCGGTGTATAGACCAAAGACGTACGGTGGGAAACGAGTAGATACGACCAGAAAACTGTGATCGGTAATCTATTTCTCCAGCCGCATAATATCGTAACCTTCCACCTGACAAAAATGGACGATTCTTGCCGAAAATAGAAATTGTTTTCTGAGAGTTCTCTCGCGTTTTCCTGCTCTAAAAATTATCGTTAAAAAGTAGACAATAAAAGACGTATTCATAACGCCCTATATATGTCGCTATGTATATTTGTGTGTGC